AGCCGGACCGACACTCACCGAGGCTCGCCGGGAGCGCCCGCGCCCGCGCCCGCACTCGGATCCCGCGGCGGCGGCGGCGGTGAGTCCGGCGCGGGTAAACAGGCACCTCCGTCCCTGACCTACTTTCTGCCTTCCCTAAATGTCGCACCACTAACCTACTTTCCGACCAATCCGCTCCCCGCCGGCCCAGGCCCGGCCCCCCGCCCACCAATCGCTGTGCCCAACCCCCCTTCCCCGCCCACCAATGGAGGAGCAGCGGAGCCCGGATACCTGCCTCTTTCCGCCAGCCAATCGGAGCGCGAGAAGAGAGCCGGCCTCGGCGGCAGCTCCTGACCAATCGTCGCGCGGTTTGGCGGCCTATTGGCCAATGGAGTGACGGTTTGGGAAGTCACTGGCCAATGGCGAGGCGGCGGGGGTCCGGGTTACCTGCTACTTTCCCATCACCAATCACTTGGCTCACAAGAGCGCACGCCCCGAGGAGCAGGCCAATCCGCGCGCGTTCTGTGGTTTGCGCACCCCGCCCTCTCCCTGTCCCCTCAGGTCTCCCGCTCGCTTCGGCCACTGCGGTGCAGGTTTCGCGCTCTCCTGGTCGCTCGGGTAGCCCCTTTTCTGAGTCCGGGCCGGCGCCTGGCTCCTCGCTTTCTTCTGTCCTCCTTCCCTTTCTTCGCTCGAGGCAGCCTGAGGAAACGCACCTTCTCCCTTCCCTCCCTCCGACTCCATCTAGGAAACCAATTTTAGGCGCACAGAGCGCCAGACTCTTCCTAGAACCCCGAAGTCCAAACCCGAGGACGAGCGCTCGGTGTTTCTAGAAGGCGTCGCCACCATGGGACCGCGAGCGTTCTCGCGTTCTTTTCGTACTCTTGACCTCCAAGTATCCCGCAGAGCTGTCATTGTTGATCCGAAGAGAAACCTCCAACTCGGAGCAGTTCTCCGGGGTCCCCTTCCTGGAGCCGGGTCCTGGCTGCTGACTGTGTTGTGTGGAAGACCCCGTCCCGGCGGCCGCGCTGTGCACTACACAAGGCTGTCTGGGGGTCAAGACGGAAAGAAAGTCGTACGGAAAATGCAAGGTCCGTGATATGCGACTTAGGTGTGAGAGCGCAGAGAGACTCATTTTTGCGTCTCTAGCGCTTGGCAGAGGGCCTGTACTACAAAGCACTCCCAGCCCTTCTAAAACTTAAGCTCCTTGGAAAAGATAGCGGCTCCTTTTTAAATTCGTGCCCCGGTCCCCTTTCGCACTTTGCGGTGGGGGAGAGGAGCCACACCTAGCCAGCACTCCTCGTTTCTTGGCTGGATAACACGAACAAATGGAATTAAACCACTTGACCCAACTCTGTGACTCCGACTAGCCCCGAGACTCTAGAATTCCTGAGTTTTAATCGTTGTTAAAACTATTGCCGTTCCCAGGGCTTCCCCGGGCACACAGCGTTTTTCTCTTGCGTGCTGTGCACCGGGTGCGAACTGTTTGCTAGGCCAACCGACTTCCTTGGTAGCTTTCTGTTTTTCCTCAGTTTACCATGTGGACGGAATCTAATTGCTGGGACTTTGTCTTTATCCCAGGTCGTGACGAGAACGCTCCATGTACTGGGGCTTTAACAAAGCGCTTGGAGAAAGTTTATGGACAAGATGAGAAAGCTAGAGGTGGATGGATGGATGTCACTAGTTACGCTAATAACCGGCTAAATAACCATTACTTAAAGATGCTGACTAATGCGTCCTTGTCGACCGGAAGGAAGGCTGGAGGGAACCAAAATTCAGGGAGCTTTAACTCTGTGTCAGGCACTGTGGTTAAACACTTTCCCCGTGTTTTCTTCTGAGTCCTCACGGCCCCCCTGTGAGGAAGCTGTTATCCCATTTCACAGATAAGAAGCTGAAACAGCTGGCACAGTGTCACACAGTAGTGGCAGAGTCATGATTCAAACCAGAACTTGTTTCACCCCAAAACCTCCGTACTACAGCATTTACCATCAGGACTTTCTTCAGTGTCCCGAATGAAAAACCACAAGACTTGCATGGCATTTCCCAATGACACAAAGCCAAGTGGGGGAAGAGATCCCATTACTTAACATCAGTCAAATCCAATATGGAGCAGTGGGCTGCCTCTAAGAGGGGTTAATGTGGGGTCCCATTCTGGGCGGCCAGCTGTTCCAACGCAGGTTAGGAGCACAGGTGTTTTAACAGATGTTCATAAGAGCAATGCAGAGGGTCATAAGGGAAATACAACTCAATCTGAGCCCACAGGGAATTGTTGCTGCCAAAATAAAGGAAAGCTGTCTGTGGCTGCATCAGTAGAAGCCTGATATAAAGCAAGTTGTGTGTTGTTGTGCGGCAATTACGACTTTGCAAAGAGAAATTATCTACATGCACTAGGAGAGGGACCAGGATGTACAGAGCTAGAAACTATGTCATAAAGGGAAGATTAAAGGGAACAGGAGGTTTTGCCCTAGGGGGTACAAGGTAACTGCCATCATGTATTTGAAGAGCTGTCAAATAGATGAGAAATTAGGTTTATTTTCCAGGGTCCTAAAGGATGGAAGGGAGACCAGTGGGAGGAAAGTCTAGAATGAATCAATACAAAGAATTTTCTGACCACTTAAGCCTCCTGTGCCTTGAGAAGTTGGGTTTCTTGTCACAGGAAGTGTCTAGGCAAGAAATGGATGACCACGTGGGGGAAGGAGAGATGGAAGGGATGTCTTTTAGGATTCTGCCGCTCTGAGAGGAGGCAATCAACCCTTACACCTTGGTTTTCATCTTGTAGTGGTTCTCACTCTCCCTCTTCCTGCCTTCAGTGGCCAGGAAACTGTCTCTCCTCACATGTGCCTGTCCTTCCATTCCATGTATGGTTATACTTTCCTTGGTGTTTCTGCCTGTTGGAGACCCCAAACACCCTCATCTTCCACTGGCACCCACTTTCCACAATACTAACTTGTCAGTTATCTGGGCCCTCCTACAGTCACAGTATTGTTTTCATTCCAAAATTCACTAGGCCTGAAGAAAACCATATGAGCACAAGTAAAGGAAAAAAAAATGTATTGAGCACCTACTTCAAATACATTTAATATAATTCTCACATTAACTGCAGAAATTCCTGTGTTTGCTTTCAATTCTTGCTAGTTGGATCACTTTTATCCGATTTCTTAACTTCTTTCTATTATAGTTTCCTCATCTGTAAAATGAGTAATGGGTTGTTGCAAGATTTAAATGAGATAATAGATGGAAAGCCCTTAATACAGCACTTGGCACACAGTAACATTTCAACATATATTAGGGATCAGTATTAATTATATAGAATAGATGCTTTTTCTCCAATTCTACAGGTGACATTAGGGAGGATAGTGACAGGACCAGGAAGCTGGGCAATTGTGCTCTGTCCAGATGGACTCTGGGGAATCCTGAAATGAGCATGGCAAAGTTCTTGTGGAAAACCAAGGACTATGTAGTAACAACACTGACTGTGGTTTTACACTATATTGGGCACTTTGTAAGAGCTTTGTATACATTACTTCACTCAACTCTTGCAACCACCCCCAAGGTAAGCACCTCCTGTATCCCTGTTTTCCAGATGCACAGAGGGGACCTGACATGCTAGGCTCTCCAAACAAACTGATCTCAAAAGTCACACTCTTAATTACCTTGCTAGATTCCTTCTTCAAAATTCCTTTGGCAAAACAGAGACTTGATATTTTAGAGGCACTCAATAGATTAAAGAGTCATCAATTTACAGGTGATGTTACTGAAAAAAATAAAATCTCCACTTATTTGGGGTTTTATGTAGCAGATAAGAAGGATACCTGGATCCATGTCTCAGTGATACAGTGTGATTTTCACACTTTGTTTTGCAAGAAACAAAAGCCTCAACCACTTTAAGTCAAAAGGAGTATTACCAGATGGCACCATGTCTGAAGATTCCAGGTTCTTTCTGTCCTGCCAAAAGAATTGGCCAAGACAACTGAGGAACAGTTAAACACAACTTTTATGTAAGATAAAAAAAGAAAAAAGAGAAAAGGTGAAGAAAAGAGAAGAAAGGAAGAAAGAACAAGAAGAGATAACATCCAGCAAGCAGGAAGGGCCACTGCAGAAATAAGCACAGCAGAACAACAAAATTGCAATGGCTGGGAAGTCAAGGGTTGCTGCCTTTTATATCCTTTCTGATCTGATCCCTGGGAAGTTGCTCTGCCCATATATCCTGGCTGTAATTCACAGGTAACATCCATTCCACATCAGGTTATATAATATACCCTGTTCCCAGCCTCTGGTCCAGATCTCTGTAATTAACAGGTCACATCCTGTTTTCCAGCCAGCCTGCTGTGGCCTAATCTCCTACCTCAGGGATAGACCTGTAGGGAGGAGACAAAGATATCTCATGGAACAATATGGTAAGAACAGCAGGCCTAGAAGGCCTCATGAGGCACCTCATGAGGGCTTACAATCGAGGTGCCATTAGACATGGTGGTGGCTCCCATCTCTTCCTTTCTCTAGGGCCATGTGGTCTCTGAACACAGTTTCTCTCTGCCTGTCTGCTTTGTGACTCTCTACGTCCTGTCCTACTCCACCCCATTGTGCACAGGCCTTTCGTGAATATCTTTGCTTGCTGAATGTGCACAGTGTGTCTGTGTGCATGAGGGCAGAACAAAAAAGGCTCAGACAGACCATCTCCAAGTAGGGACATGTGCTGAGTCAGCCTCCCCACAGCCCTACAGGTGCCAGAAGAAGTAAAACGAGAGAAATAAGGTCATCAGAGCAAAAGAAAGAGAGCCCCCCCCCCAAAAAAAAGGACCAGATTTGGAAAATTTTAGAAGAAAGCCTCAACAGATAGGTTTAGAAACAAGGTAAAGGAAAGCTCCTTTTGAGGAAAAGGTTTTGGTTAGAGAAAGAAAGACATTTGACTATAGAAAAACTGTTTTACTAAAACTGCTTTTGAAGCCAGATTTACCACATGCTACTGGGAAAATTAGGTAGACATGAGTGAAGACAGCATGGTACTAGGAATAGAGATGACTTTTTGAAAACTTTTGATATTTAAGGGGAAATCAGAAAAAGAATCAGCTGTCCCTCAGCAGTTGACCTGGTTGAAAGAGCCTGATGTGTGTTATGTGTATGAATAGTTTCCTTCTTTGAAGCTAGGTGGACATGTGGATGTACAAATATGAGA